AATATTGCTTTACCTGACTAATGCTAATAAATAACATTTCTATCTAATCTGGGACACTCTATGTGGACAGCAATTAATGGTTAAAGCCTTATACCATATTACAAATTACGTAGAGCCAAAAAATTGACATGCACTATGTGAATTATTAAAAAGCTTTTTACATTAACAAAACAAGTAATTTAATCTGCCATGTTTCTGCAGGGGTGTTCCTGTGAATTTTCGCACTTTGAAACTAATTTTTCAAATTATCCCAACACCACATAAATGCTGGCACATTCAATAATCACTTTTTTATAGCTCTGTGTTTGGTCTCCACCAATCCCTGAGGGAAAAATCTGGCTCTTAAGCCTCTAAATGCACCACTATGTTCACCAGCTAGTCGCTGACTGTTTCTGGATTTTTATTCAATAAAAAAAATTCAATTAAAATCTTTTAATCTGTATTCAAATAAAAATGAAAGTACCTCTCTGCTTCAAGACAATAAATGCAGATAAAAACTGTGAGCACTCCAAGTATACATGGGGGAAATGTGTGTGTGGGCGACACAGGTGCAGACACACATGTCCACACACACACACATTCACACTTGGCGCTCACACCAGCAGCCTGTCCACCTGACTGTTTCTGCGACAGAAAAGGGAGTGAGGTGGCAGCGGTTATTATAGCTCTGCTGTCATTAATATCAGGTGTACTTTCTCAGGCATGCAGAGATGCTGGTGAGACTTAGTCACTGATGGTGGGGGTCATTGCATCTAGCTGGCTCTTGTCTACCTGTTTCTGCCACCACAGGACACTAACAAACCTCGCTGCCTCCAGTGAACCATCCACCACAGGAGTACCCAGATAGAAAATAGGTGTTGTGCCAGTCACCTCCTTTACTGACACAGTTGGGTTCCAGGGGGGCAAAATAAACCCCCCCACCCCTCACCACTGCAATATATGAATAATGGTTATTAGACCTGCTTCCGCCATACAACTTTTACTGAATGATTGTATGACCATAAACAATGCCAGCATGTCATCAGGTTAATTATGGCCAATAAATTTTAATGTGCATTGGCATCTGTATTGGTCTGTTGTAGCTCAGTGGGCTGAGCCGTGCACTAACACTGAAATATCAAAGCTCAAGCAACACTTGAGTGTAGTAAAATAAAACTGGCAGGTTTGAGCTTGTTGCCTTTGTCAGGGTCGTCAGGCAACACTTAACAAAGAACACTTAAACAGGAGAGGTATAAAAGAAAAATAAAGCCAACCAGTGACATATAAACTGTGATTAACACAGCAGTCAACAGGGTATTTACGCATTTGGCCATGAATTTATTTAATATATGGTCGAGTGGTTTTAGACCAATCAACACTTGGACTAACACTACCAGTTTCATGGATTCCGTTTCCCCACATGCTAAAATATAAACACCCATTAGTGCTGGAGGATAGGGTTGACATAAATATCATGATTGAATTTTAATATTTTTGCAATATCAGTGTTAACAATATCATCATGTGGGAAGTGCTAAGCTGTTTGTTATGTCAGCTGTGTAGGACAAAAACTAAAGTAACTAATTATCTCAGTTTTGTAATACACTGTAGTTGTGACCGAGATTCATACTGAGCAGGACCAACTATTTAATTGTGACACTGTTTGTATTTTCCCCTTAACATATCTGTGCACGGCTATTTTCTTGTTATTTTTTGCCTGACATGCACCGATTCAGATATGTTTGTGGGAAGGTAATATCTGCAGATAAATTGGCATGGCAGATTTACAAGCAATGGGCTTTGACACTGGAGACCAGTTTAAGCTTGATCAGGTTTAGGCAACAGAAACGCTTTGGTTAAGGTTGGGAAAAGGTTGTAAAAATTAAAATGGAGGGAGTCTCTGTCTGTCAATATATCTGTCCTTTGATTTTCTCGACAACCTGTCATCGGATCACCTTCACACTTGGTGGATGCTGACGCTGGCAGGCTCTTGAGATCTATGGGACATATTTATTCGTGGTATGTTATGTACATACTGTGTAGCATATTAAGAGGGGACAGCTATCAACTGTTACACTCCAGAATGGCATTCAGGGTACATCTCGCTCACATTCAAGAACAGCTAAAGAAAGAAAGAAAGACAAGCCCCAAGGGACAGCATCAGGCTCTGAAGCCATTTTTACACAGTGGCCAAATGTGGAATCACAACATTCAGGTCCATCATGTGATGTCATTGGTTCCAATAAGTCCTTAATAAGTCCCATAGACTTACATAGTGTAAGAAACAGTGAATGCTCTTTTTTTGAGTGTCACAACCTCTGCGTAATGACTCATTTCAATATCTCAATTTGATCCATTCGGTCTCTGTTCAAGTTAGTGGAACGCTAAACCAGAAGGTAGCTGTTCAGCTGCAATTAAGTCTCTAGTGTGGTTGCTTTAAGGGTCCCAAAATGCAGAAGATCTGGGTAATTTCGTACCATGGAAATCAAGCTTTTTTGCCCTCATACACCCCTGAGCAGCTTTCATAGGAATGAACAGGTCCAAAACTCCAATGCTGTATCCAGTTCTCTTTATATATCCATAACGGAGGAGACCAAAGATGTTACATTTCAAGCATCAGCGATGTCACTTTCAGAACGAACGCCTTTGTTCCCCAGAGCGTAGGAAAGACTGTGTCGCGTGTACAGTTGTTTGGAAGTGTATATCTCGAGAATGTTGCAAGCAGCAATACCGAAGGTCAAACAATCAGCCCGTGCCAACAGGCGCATTTTAGCTGAACACTGCGCTAGTAACCCTAAAAACAGTTGCTGGCAGCAGATATTATGCAAGTTGCAGATGAGTAGTACATATGTATTATTTCTAAGAGACTGTGTTGAGTGCATGAAGACACCAGAAATCTTTTACCCTGTTGGCCACTTGTACTCACTGTATTTAGTTACGGAATTTTAGTTGATAAGAATAATAACTTTCAATCCAATCTTACAACACTTGTGACAGTAGATTTACTTGAATCTTATGAGATAAAGAACCAGAATAAACTTAAGGACAATTGAACGAGAGTGTATCAGTGTCATGTGGTGTCTAGACACTTTTTTGTTTACAGTTTGCTTGAAATCATTAATGTGGATTTTCTTTAAATGATAAAGTGATATAATCATCACAATTTGATAAGATTACTGTTCCACTAAAAGTTGATACAGATATCAAGTTATTACCAATCTCATGCTCCCATTAGAATCTTACGGTGCTTTCACACCTGCCATGTTTGGTTTAGTTCAATCAAACTCAAGTTCGTTTGCCCTCTTAAGTGCAGATTGTTTGAGCAGGTGTGAACACAGCAATCGCACTCAGGTACGCACCAAAACAACCTGTACTGCCTTAATATGCACATTCAGCACATCCAATGCATCAAAACATTGTTTTCTAGTCTGAGTCGTGCCTCGTTTTCAAACTGTATGGTTTGACTAAAATGAACAATGACAGCAGTATAGTACACAATGACCAGCGCTAAATCAACCTGCGTAGGTGTCCCTCCATTGTGACATTAGAAAGTGTCATATTTATCTTGCAAGTGTAATCTTTTTCAACGTTTGATTTACTTCCTAGATTTTTCCTGCATGGAAATTCTGACCAATCAAGAGCAGCTTTCTTGCGCATAGCATTTTATCTGGTCCGCTTGTAAATGCTGCCGTGAGAACACGAACCAACTCTAGGCAGTTATGCAACTTTGAAACAAAACGAGTCCCTGATTCGGACCAAAGCAAGACAACTGTAGGTCTGAAAGCACCCTTAGATGCTCTGAACAAAGAGTAACAAGGAAATGTCGCATTTGGAACTAATTTATACTCAGTCATTGTAGAACAACCCTACTGACCTTCTCAGGGTTTGGTAAAGGTTTTTGCGCTGATATCAAACACTAAAGCTTCGAACAAATTTACACAAACACGCACTTCATCTGCTCCCATATTGATGTGCATGTCATGTCATGTTTACATCCTCATACACACTGAAATACACATACCTACATACAGTCATGTGGTGTAGCCCTTACAGTGGTTCATTGCAGGTATAGCATTTTTATGGCCTGCAGACAGATTGCGTAGACTTGTGGTTTGCTGAGGAAGGCAGGGAACAGTATTAGTCTCCATCCCCTTACGTCAGTGGTCATAACATTTGCCATTACTTCCCTTGCAAGATTCAATCACCAGCACACAAAGCCATGCTTCACGCACAATGAAAGGCGAGTGCTTTTTGTCAGGCATTCGGTAGAGTGAATTGCATATAGAGTGACTCCGGGATAGCATTGTTTCTGGCTGCCATAAAAAATCTATTTAAGGCAAATCTAATCTTCATAATCTTCTCCCTCAGAGGTGGTGAACGGTGATAGGAAAGATTTCCATGCTGGGTGTCTGGTTGGCAGTGCACAGGGCTGGAAGATGTAGGAAATTGCCGGGAGCAGAGGATATTAAACTTCAATTTGAGAACACTGATAAGCACCGAATTGGTGATTTATTTAGGCATATTGTCAACTAAATCATCCTTAACCACTGGACACAAGTATATTCATAAACACAACCCTCTTGCTTGCTTTACAAATTCTATTTTTTCATATCTTCTATCTAAACTGCAGGGTAAATACTGTATGTCCTCATACAAGTTGGAGATATGGTTTTGAACGAAGATAAATTTCCCGGTCATTAGTTGTGGTGTAGCCTAGCAACCATGGGGGTGTGTGTGTGTGAGAGAGGGGAGATGGAGATGGAAAGCAAGAGGGAGAGCTCTATCACCCCTCTTTTTCCTTTTCTTTTCTTTCTTTTAGCTTAAATGCATCGGCCACTAAAACGGCTCTGCACATTACTCCACTGTGCGTCATTTTAAAGCGTGTAAATGGGCCGGTGCGGTGCAATAAGAAAAAGGGGCCTCTCATAAGTCCGCCACAGTGAATGAATTATTAATGGGTATAAATCCCAAACAGAGGGATGGGGCCGAGACTAATGTCCACTGGCATGAGTTCCGTAGAGATGGGCAGCGTCTCAAGGATAGCCGGGCAGCCTGGCAGCTTCACACTGCTGTCAGCTAAGGACACTAGATCACTGCAGTGGCAGGGACACTCAACAAAGATCATCCTCACCTCCACACCGCATTGTAAACATAACACCAGAGAGTGTGTGTGTGTGTGTGTGTGTGTGTGTGTGTGTGTGTGTGCGTGTGCATGTGTGTGTGTGCGCGCTCTTATTTTTCTTCTTTGTGAAGTGTCCTCTCAGGGATTCTTTGAGGGATTAATTTATGCTCAGGATTTAGGTTTAAGGTTAACTTTAGAAGTAGGATTAAGTTGAGTTTGAGGAGTGGTTAAGAGGTCAAGGAGTGAATGGTATAACATATTAATGCAAAGCTACTCCTTGTGTATGGGTGTTTGAGTGTATCTATGCAGGTATTATTCCCGCCTCTGTCCATGTGTGTCTTATTTTGTGTATTTGTGTAGGAATCACAATGGTGCAGAGGTGGGACTTTTTTTTTTTTTTTTACAGAAAAATCTGCTAAAATGAAGGAAAAGGGAATTTTGCTACACTCGCTGTTTCTGTTAGCAGAAAAAAGCACGGCTATATCCTCAGGAATTGTCTCAGCACCTCAGGCTGCCAGAAACAACCATTTACAGCCCGTCCTCATGACTCATCATAATGAAAAATCTTCACACCAAAAAGTCTGTGGTATTGAAAAGAGGAAAGTTTCATTACAGAGTGAAATACCATTTAAAAAGTGACACTCATTTTTACAAAATGATTAGTGAAGGAAAAGTAAGACCAACCATGTATTATAAAAAAGTAATTAGCCATCTCCCAACCTTTGGTTGAGAGATAACGTTTGTAAGAATGGGATCATGTGTCATCTGTTTCAGGGAACTCAAATTAATAAATGCTCTTTTTGGATTAAAGCTTTCAAAATCTATAATTTTTTATTGCAGTTTGTGCCTGCTGGTGAATTCCTTTCATTCTTGTCGATATGAATTATGTGAGTACATGCAATAAGCCTGGCATGCTTGGAAGTTACCCCTCTGCATTACAATGCAATCCAACAGTCTTGTAATAAATAATACCTAGGTGTTAGGAGCTGTTACTAGCGTTATAGATATAGTTTAGAAAGCTCCTGCTAAACCAACTAGCATGTTCAGAATGCTGTTATCACCTTAATAAAAAGCCCTTGGCAAAACCTTAAATTTCATTATGTCTCAGAAACACTATGTGTGGTCATGTTTAGGCCCCAAAAAAACTTGGTTATGGTTGAGAAATGATAATGTTTCGGTTTAAAACACCCACATTTGGTGGCACAAAAGCCGCTAGGAAGGCAGCAATGACTGAAAAGAAAGCTACATTCTCAGGCAGAAATGCTACTTGAAAACACAGCAGTGGGTTACCACTACTGGTACAATCCCTGCTGGAAATGTAGCAATGACTCACTAAAAAGACACCTCCGTTTTGGGGCAGAAATGCCACTGGAAACGCTGTGCTAAAAAACATCCACATCTCAGGGCAGAAACGGTGCTGGAAACGCAGTTATGGGGCTAAAACACCCACATTTGGGTGAACAAATTCCACTTAAAATTAACAACTTGCAGCCACAACACTCAAAAAATGCAGTAAAAAAATTCATATTTTGGGGCACAAACACCTTGGGAAACACGGACAATTTGGTAAAAAAAACACCCATGTTTGGGGCCAGAAACACTGCTGGAAACATGTCAGTGTCTTGCTCATAAACAACTGGTGTTGTTGTTTGTTGGTCTCAAACAGTGGTCTCCAGTGTCTGCAGCTTGGCAGCTGTCTCGCCTAGATGTCAAAAAAGGCAAAAACCTAAGACTACTCCAGACTCAAGACCCTCTCACTGTCCTCCTGCTGTGACACTGTTTTCTCTTGGCGAATTGAAAGACAACTCTGCCCTGTCCATTTCTGCAGTAAAGATATCAGGAGATGCTTTTTAGGAATATAGGACTCACAAGAAACCTGCTGAAGGTTAAACTAGGTTTACTGGACACTTTTAAGACTGATTATATTGCAGTATAACAGACCTGCTGTAGACAGACGGGTAGAGACAAGCTAGCCCATCAACATAAAGGCTACAAAATACCCATAAATACGTCTCTCAAAGTTGCAAGGTCCCTTTGTAGTGCAATAGTTGCTCTCACTTTTTAGCCATGCAGGTGGCGTGGCTCTAAAATTTTCAGTTTGTCCATACTTTCATAACCGCACTACTAATTAAATCCTATAGTTCAGCAAATGTTAGCATGCCAAAATGCTAAACTGTATGCTAAACTGATGTAATGAACGTGGGTATTTTATCTTGTAATGACATTGTTTTGCATAAGACACATACCTTGTCTGTTAACCTGATTTTTCCAAAATATTTCCACACTGCTGATTTATTCCCCAGTGGGGTGTAAATAACCTCATTGTCTTTTTCTTGGATGCTGCTTGTCATTATCTGCCTGCTGCTGTTTGACAGTGACACAGACTTGCCATGGGAATTTTAAAATAAAGGCATATTTTAAAGATGATGATATGGATCAATGTTTTCACCTTTTATGTATTATGATGTATCACTGATCGTTGAATCGATACATTGATCTAGATTGACAGATTGTTACATACCTACTACTGACAATAACATCTAGCTTAAAGCAGCTGTGCTTAAAAATGCCTATCCAAGGCATACCCAAAGAAAATTGAAAGCAGGTCTTGTTCCATTTTTAGTACATGTACATACATGGTCTGATTTGAAAAGCACACCATTAGTTTTTTTCCCCAGCAGTCAGAATCACTGTATGTGCTTCTGTCATTGATTACATAAGTTTCAGCACATTGAAATGAGATGACTACAACTGGGAGGTATTAGCTGGAAAACACAATAGGACATATCAAGAAGCCTCACATAGTCCAAATTAACAATAGATAACAATATCACAGAAAATAGTAATTTTTCTCAGTTTATTTCCAGGCACTTTAAAAAGAGAGAGAGAGAGAGAGAGAGAGAGAGTAAAACAATGTTCTGAATGTGTGCTTATGTGTGAAACACTATTTAATACAGACAGAAATGTCTATGTAGAAGCTTACTGTATATAAAAACACTTCTTAAAAACCTAAATTGAAAGACTTTCTTTTCCAGGAGCCATTTGATTATCATTTCCGTACATTTATAACAGGCTGTGGGGACAGTAACGAGCTTCAAACTACAGGAGGCCTTAGTGATAGACATCCCTTTAGCTCAGGCCCTGGTTGGATATTGGGTCACAGCAACAGCATTATGAGCTCCTGCTGACTTTAGTGAGGTCTCTATGGAAACCCCAGATGCTTGCCTCCATTTTGAGGTCTTGTTGGGCTGGTTTGTGTTCATGCACGGCAGAGAAATTTTGGATAATATGTGTAGAAATATGAATTTGAAATGAGGCAGTGGCAGTTTGTGGATATCTGTGGATGTTACAAAGGGGTTTGGACTAAATATTTCACTGGATTTAGATTGTTCAGACCTTTGAGAGTGTAAAAGAAGTGAAATGGGAGCTGTGTAAAGTGTGTTGATTTGGATAATATGGATCTGTGGATTACAATAATGCTTAATAGGTGAGTTACAAGTGCATGGTTATGTGTTTATTGAGCCTGCTGTGGTAGTTGTAGCTTAAAATGGTCAGCATTACTGGAGCATAGCTTTTGCAAGATAGGTTATATGAGTAAACCACCTAAATACCAATGAATGCAGCAGTTGTTTTACATATCATAATCATTAAAAGTCACTTTAGGAGGGCCCGCAGGTGGGCTGTCGGATTTCAAACGGTAAGAATGACCTCACTGAGCTGTTGTCACTTTGGAACAACACATTCTAACTCTGACCTCGTCACATATTGGCGCTTGGTTTTGGAATTTCCACATCCACATTTGACATGCAAGGTAGCCTGGGTGCATCTGTTGTTGATGTTCTGGGACGCCGTGTAAACTTCTGCCTGTTGCATGCATAATGTCTTTTCAAAATACACCTCCGTTTTCACAGGCAATGGACAGTTTGCATACAGTGTCTTTCAAAATAAAGGCACTATGTTGGTACAACACCATGAATTGACGTTGTTTTCCTTCAACAACGAACGCACATGGTTTCATCAAGCCAACACACACACACACACACACACACACGGTTATGTTCAGGCAACAAAAAGTGCAGCTGAAATTTCTCTGAAGGGCTTTCTACCAGAAAAGAATCTCTTGGTGAAGGTTAGGAAAAATGTTGTGTTTCTGTCAGAAAGGGCATTCTTGAAGAAAACCTACAAGGAAAACTTCTTTCATGTGCAACAAAAGTATGTTAAAAACTATGGTATGGCTTTACATTCTCACCGGCCTCCCGGGTAAAAGTGGGTCATTGTAAGACCCATTCACCACCCATCCCACCCGACCTACTCGGACTTCTCGCCCCCTTAAGTTAAGTTGTTGTCCGGCCGTTTTTCCCCTGATGTCGTTGGGCACCATTACACGCTGACAGCACCCGGCTGACGTGAAAGGACAGTTTATTTCGTCAGTGTCTTACACAGGAGTCACTACCTTAGCGCCAGCATTCGACGACTTCAGAATGAGACCGAGTTGGGTTTAACTATATTCATGACCAATAAAATAATGCTTGTATGCATATTTATATTCTCCAGGTTCGTATTGTATAGTTTATGTATAGTATACATCTTATACATCCAAAAGCCCTTCGGTGTACATTTTGCATCCTAGCCGCTCCATTAAATTTAGTATTGATAGTACAGACCTTGGTAACAAGGCAAACAGAGAAGCCAGCTGTGCCTTTGGGGAGCTTTGCTTATTAACAGGCGGGGAGTCAGAACACACACTGAGACACAGATACAGGGATCACTATTGAGCTGTCTGTCACCAGGGAAATTGCTCCTGTCTATATACTGCAAAAAAATAACGTCCATCTCAACGAGTGATTTATCTATTTCATCCTGTCTTAAAATCACCGCTCAACAAGTGCGACCACCTGAAGAGAGGACACGGGGGGACTTTTAATTCATTCTATCCCTGCTTTATTCTTTTGTCCAGGTGCCCATTATGCTTTACACAGTAGCTCAGGTGCAGGTGATCCAATTTCGACTCATTTTAAGGGGG